CCCAATATCTGTCATTTACATGTTTGTCAAGTAACCAATCACAAGTCAACAACACCAATGATGAAGCTTACATTGATCCCAGCCACATGAGCGTCTGAGCGGCAGTGCCTGGCTGAGTTGTCAGTGCACAAATGGCTCTGTATACACCAGGTACAGGCAAACTCACTTATGGCACACGCCATACACCTGGAGGAGGAAACGAGAGACTGGGGTCACTGAAGAGACATTAGCTTATTTCATTGTTTGTTGTTTAGTTTTAGTTAGAGTTTTGTGGCACTTGCAAAACAATTAGGTCATTTAAGTGCCGAAGACTGGAAGTATTACAAGAGAGTAACAAACACAAAAAAGAAGGCGGGGAAGATAAGGATGATAGAGGTTTGATAGGAAAAAAGGAGCAAACCACACCAGAGCACCCGCCAACCACATACTTTTCATAGTTTTGACATGAGGTTAATGACTTGTAGTCTTGGTGAGCTGATAAATAAAGGCCACATTTCACCAGGAACAGACAAAGACAATAGCAGGAGCTACCCCGCCCCTCGTCATGAGACAAAATGTTTCAACACGCTGATGATCCTAAAGTGCTGGGTAAATTGGGAGGACTTTTATACATAAATGGGAACAAAATCAGGACCTACAATTACAATCTTAAGCTGTTTTTGTCACAATAAGAAGTACAAGATGGAGTTTATGTAACAAGAAACCACATCCCCCCCACCCCCCGAAAAAAACAACAACAAAGTAACAAAAAAACCCCCCAAAAAAACCTCCAACAAATAACCTTCCCAAAACCCCGACCCCCACAAAGAAAACAAATCTGATCAAACAAGGTGAAAGCAACAAAAAAAAAAGGACCAACAAAAAAACGAAAGAAGAAAATAAAAGGAATCAAACTACATTACACCAAGACCATGTGACCAAAGCTATGAACACTGTAATACCATTGTTACGTTTTACATCTCCATCAAACTAATATGGATCATTTAGGAGGCGGACTGCTTCGACTCTGCCTGTAAGGGCCAACCCAGGCTAAGAGGGAAATAACATTCTAGTAGAAAAACTTGGTGAAGAGCCTCACCACTGTACCATAGACACTAGTATAGTGGTCTGGAAACACAAAAAAACCACTTCAAATGACAGGTGTACTGACCATTTTGGTTTAGTTTTGTTTTTTAAAGAGTTTTACGGCTCTTGCAACTACATAAGGTCATATGAGCACGTGGGACATAAGTTGGTTGTTTTCGTGTTAGTTCACAGCACGGCTTGGTTTTACTTTATGGCTGAAATTAAAAACTCACAGTGAAAAAATTATTAGTAAAAACAGTTATTTACATTTTTTTTAAAAAGTATTATAAACTGACCGTGAGTGGACTGTGCAGTCATAGAAAGTGACTGTGTCGTGCACCAGTTCCTGGTCATCCACATGGACTGCCAGCTTCATCTTGACAGAATCTGCAAATGGGAGTTAGTTGTTTGTTGGTTTATTAGAGAAGAAAGAAGGATATCAATACAAATAGGGTCAGTTTGTGTGCAGAAAAAACCCAACATACAGTCAGGCAATACACATTACAAGAACACGGAAAACTTGAAATTGAGGACAGTTCGTACAATTTGCCATTCCCAGAATGATATCTCTTTAATTATTCGTAATACGGTTTACTGAAATTAAGAAGATATCTAATTTATTTGTCAATCCCTAACTGTAGGAAGAGAGAAACAATAGCTGGGTAAGAAAGAAGTCAGACCTACCAGTAGTACCTTCTAATGATCCATGAGATGGGAGTTTAAAATTTTGAGACAGATGATGTCCATATATATATATACATATACATTTAATAATAAATGTAATTCTAAGAGCGAGGATATTATAATTCATACTTGCTTTCTAAAACAACTTTCCAATTCAACTTTTGCAATGATGAAGATTCTGTTTCACAACAATAATGACAAAGATGATCAATGTGATGATGATGATGATGCCTTTCTGGTATATTCATTACCTCCACGCACTGTTTCCCCAACAACTCTCTCTCTCTCTCTCCCAACCACTTCTTTCCTTAGTGTTCCCCTTTCTCTGGCCGTTCCAATTTGGTTTGTGTTCAGCGCACCTTTTAGCATTGTGACGTGAGTGTACGCACTTTGGTTTCTTCATCTAGTATAGTCATTTACATTATTTTTTTTTAAACATTCCAGACGCAGCCCGTAGAGGGAGAAACTTTGAACGTATCATAAAATATTTTGGAAATCCTACCAAGTCTCTACCTTTTTTATTCTCTGCTGTATACAATGATGATGATGATGATGATGATGATGAAGATGATGTCAACTATGATGATGATGATGGCAAAAAGAAGAGAAAAAAATAAAAGAATTTTCAACGAAAAAAACCCCCAAGCTTCAAGACTGTTAGATATGCATGGCTCACCTCTCCCCTCAGCAAAGGCCGGCAGTTTGTCGGTGGTCGGGGTGTAGCACTGGAACTTGTTCTTGTTGTTCTTGTTGCGCTCCGCACTAGTGGACACGGGGGTAGCTCCTGGGTCGGTAAGCGAAGAGAACACACAGCGGTACTGTTGGGTGTTGTGGAACTCCAGGAGGTGCCTGATGTCAAAGCTCAGCTGAGGAAACACAGAGTTTAGTTTAGTAAGGTTTTATGGCACTCGCAACTGCATAAGGTCATATGTGTGTCAAGGGGTGTATGTCAACAGAGAAGTCAAAATGAAATAGCAGTTCACAAGAAAGAGACAGTTTACTGGAAATACTAAGAGAACTGTTGCATAATATGAATAAGGTGGAACAAACCACACCACACGACAATTTAAGTAAAGTCACAATAAACGTTAGTTAATGTACAGGAAAAGAAAGATACATAGAAACAACACATGGACGTTTGTTGGGGGTTATTTAACTTGAAAAACCTCAGGAACTAGGTACATCCCCCCC